AATGTTCCAAATAATTCCTGGAACAGTAATCAATTATTAATGTTGAAATTTCAGAGATGGAGTCTTGTAGTCCATCTTGAAATTTTCAGCTTGCCTACGCACAGACGCAATATTAACAGTGCAAAATTAACAAGTCGGAAGTGCAATGGTTACCTAAGACTATATCCAAATTCAGTTTTAATACCTAGTAATCTCTTACTTTTCAAACTTAGACATATTCAACGAATATTTGAACTTTAATATTTAATATTGATTGATGCATGTTTGAACTCAGTCAATTCATTACCAGCCAGCTCTATAAATATGGAGATCAAAATCTCAAAGCCTTCATATTGTTTTCAGATACATCCCCAGGTTCCTACAAGAGATCAGAAGCACAAAGTTAAGCTATAAGTCTACAACGCTTGGTTTTTTACAAAAGAAGAACAGAAAGGAGGGCATAATTTTCAGCCTTTTTCTTGAAAAAATAAACAGATAGTTCTGCAAGATAAAGTACTGATCTGAACCATGATAAATCATCCTAATTCAGGGCAAACGAATTTGGAGTCAGCCACAAAATGTTGCAGCAATATCGTAAGAAGTCAAGCTATTTTGAATAGAATAAATAAAGCCACAAGCAGTGGGCAGAGAGTTTTAAACGGTGGCTCAAATACAACATCAAGGTCTGGATTTCAGGGAGAAGTGGAGGGATCAACGCCAAAGCTCGAGCGGTTTAAGATAAGAACAGTAGAAACAGGTCAAGTTGTGAAGGATGATAAAGACAAGCAATCAAAACATTAAAGCTGTTGCATTACTTCTTTTCTTTTTCATGTGTTCAGATTCTTTGATTCTTTTGTAATGAAAGGAAATTGTAAGTATTTTCTTTCTATGAAGTCAATGGCTACCAGCCACACCGTAACAAAGACGGTACTTTAATACAACACCAATATTTTGTCAGTTCAAATTATGTTAGAATTGCGAATTGGTTAAATTATAATTTTTGCTTATTGATTTATGAAATCAGTCAGATTAATGAAATCACATTAGGTGTAGGTATGTGAGTATAACATTGTTTTTATTTTTATTTCTTTTTATTAATAAAAAATAATAAAAATATAGATCAAACAAATCTAAATAATCATCACTTTACACATAATGATTGGGTAACTCCACAAATTAACTTTTCCTCAAATTCTCTCATATTTACTCCCTTATTATGTGTTTTTGGCTGCTTAATTATTTATATACACACTTTTTTTATTTGTATTCATTGATATTTAAGTGCGCGCATAAGTTATTTAGAAGGGGTTAGGGATGTATATTTTATCTAAATTCAATGGAAATTCTGATTTTTTTTTATCTTAATGAAGAAAGAGATGATATTAAATTTTGAAATAATAATGAAAATAAATATGATTTTAAATTTTTTATGAATATGAGCATGGAAGTGGATAATATAGCATTCGTTTCATATTCGTATTTTATTTACATTTATATATATTTAATAAATTAATTTTTTTTAATAATATAAATTTTATTTTTAGATTTATTAAAACTAATATATTTTTATTTAAAAATACATATTTATAAAAAAAACTACTTAAATGTGTAAAATAAAAATAAAAAACTATAAAAATAAATTTTACTTTTTATTTTTTATAAGAAGTCATGAGTACGAAAATTATTTATTTTTATTAAATATTTATGAAAATAAAAATAAAAATATATTTAAAATATCTATTAAATATAAATACATAAATAAATATAATATAAAAAATTAAAAACGATGATAAATATTATTTTACCTACCTCTTATCTTATCTAATGATATTTTTAGAAGGAATAATATGAGTAAGCTAGCTTACGTGAACCGCATTAACTCTTAGCCAAACTCTTTATTTAATTATTATATCATGCTATTTGGCTCATGCCAAAGAAAATCTCTGAAAACATTCGCCCGTGTAATTATGAGTTTCCCTAGGCCCTGTGCGGACATGGACATAGAGTTCTTAGCCTTTGTTCCTAGGCGGATACGAACCCCCAACCCACTTTGTTCTGGTTTGTTCGAGTCATTCCATATTCAAATTCGGCCATGTCGATATGACATGTAGTTTCCGCTCTTATCTTGAGAACCCTTAAGCTGTTCAATTTAATACGTAATTGAAATCTGAAGAAACCTCCCTTGGTTCTTTCTATTGTTTTTTTAATGTCTTTCGTTTATCTAAAATAAAATATCATTTAACATTTTTGTTTAGTAACATTGAAAAGTAATGCAAGATAGAAACATGTTTTTGACCAATCACTTCGAAGACATGATTGATTTTTTATTTTATTAGCAATAAGCCACTATTAACCAACTAACTAGCTAGTTACCAATGATAATGTAAATTTGAATGTGACAGATGTATCCTAACTTATATCAACACCTTCTCTATTTCATATGGGGCAAGCTGGTGCATATAGCTATCGAGGCACCAAAACAAGACAAGGGGCTAATGTCATCAGTAGGCTTGAATAGTGAGGAGCATAAAATTTTTGGTTAAGCACAGTCAATAATGGTGATAATTAGGCTTTTGATGGTGCTTAAACTTTCCTGTGGTCCTTAAATCATTGTTTAATACCCAATTATCACTTTAATTGACTGTGCCCATTAATGGAATTGTGCCTACTGCCCCTCAGATGAACAAATAGGCACACATGGTACTTATCCTGATTTGGCTCCATCCCTCCGATGATATGCCTCCCAAAAAAAGCAGCTGCCTCATCATGCTGTCATCATGGTGCTAGAGTAACTTGAAAGATTACATATTTATTTCGTTCCCAATTGGTTTCTATATATATATCCCACAAGTTAAGTCGATAATTTGTGCATACAAGTATATTTTATATGGTTGGTTTAACATTTGTTACTTGTGATTTAAGAAAGTTGAATAAGTTTAAGATTCGATGCACTTCTTTAAACATACCAAAAAAGAGTTGCTAAGTGTGTGATGATGGGTTCATGTAAATGCATCACGGCATCGACCTTGTATAATCAATCTATACTTACAAAGATAATGAAATTAAAGAGTCAATCGAAATCTCCAATAAATTTTTAGAAGCAATATTTATTATAAAATATTTTTAAAATAAAATTATATTTGATGTATTGTCAATATATAAATATTATTTACTATTAATAAATCATTGATATTATATAAAATTTTGATTTTAAATATATTTTAACATTAAATTTACTTATTTTTTAAGAATTTAAAATTTTAAAGTTAATTTTTTATAATATATCATTATATGATTCACTAATAATATGTATCAAATATAAATTTTTTTAAAATTTGAATAAAAATACTCAATCATATTATTATTCTTTATTTGACAAGAAATCATTTATAAACAAGCCTCACATATACTTTTGTGGCTTCAAATGAAAAGAAAAAAATTTTGTTGCACAAACTCATTAGCTAGAAAGTACTCAAAGTTAATTACTAGTAATTTTTTTAATGAGAAATAATAAATTATTCATTTTTTATGCAAATTAGATTGCATGATTTGTGGGGTCAGAAACGGATGAAGGTGAGGTGTCAGCATCCACCTTGTCATTCCACAATTTCTTTTTTGCCTTTTCCTTACCGGAGAACATATTTTTATAATTATTGTAATATAATTTATTAATTATAATTTTATTATTGTAATATAATTTATTAATTATAATTTTATATTATATGAGATTTATCAAATTATTATATATATCACTTTTAAATAATAGATTCTTATATAATTTTTAATTATGATTAATTAATTATAATATCACAAGAAAGAAAATTATAAATGATACGATCCTCCTTCCACTGTTTACTACTTGCTACGTCGGATTAGTGCAACTAGTTGAGAACGAGACATCAACAAAGGGGTGAGGTGGGCCATAGGCTTTTGGGGAGCATAATCAATCTGTTCAACTGATCTCCCATTCACAACGTAATAAAGTAAGATTTTTTATGTTTTCAGTCATCTACGTAAGAAATACAATATATCACTTGTATTAATATAAGAATTACATATTTTTTATTTTTGGATCAAATTAAATTTATAATATTTATATTTAGTTATTTTAATTCAAAAATAAAAAATATATAACTCTTAAATTAATATATATATAATAAGGGCTCAAATGATAAAAAAATTTGTTAAGTTTTAATCTGTCAAAATTCTTTAAATTTGATGTAAATAAATTTATTTAAATTAACGCATTAAAAGAATGTATCAGACAAAATTTAAGAATTCTATCACTTAAAAAATATATTTTTTGGCCTAAAAAAGTTACTATAAGTTAATTAAATGGTTGGAGTGAGGATATCCGACTCCTTTAAATCAACATGTTAATTATTCTTGTTGACTAAACCTCCACAACTTGCTTTGCCTTTTTCTTCACCAAACCATATTGGATGTATCGTCTTTGCTTTATTCGTCTGCTTTGAAATCTCATTGCAAACTGAACTTTGAGTTAAAGTCTGAGCAACAATTCCAGTTTTTGAATATTACTCTTCATCTAAAGCTCTACGTTGCATAACTAGAAATGATCGTGGGCTGCTTCGGATGTTTTATTGAGGTAGGTCTTGATCGAATATTAATTGGATATGATATTATGAGTGCTTTTGCAGGGATCGATCAGTTATCTCTACAAAATTTAGAGATTCACAGTTGATCGGATGAGAGAATTCAAGTCCTCTGTTCAGCAAAGAATATCTGAATCTTGACAGTTGAAACTCATCATCTTCTACTTAGTAGTTACGCAGATGATCAGTTGATGGAATATAATGGCAAATTATGATCAAGCATTGCGAGCTGAAGATCATTAGAATATTCTTTTGGCCCAGAGCTTTCTGCTGCAAACTTCATATTGTCCAATGAAGCCAGTGGCAGAATCAACCTGCAAAACCATCGAAACCTGGTATATTCAAAAACAAACTTACCAGATGAATTCGACCGTGAATTTGATCTTACCACCAGCACTGGATGAAATGAATACATACTATGAAAGATGCTTCAGCTACTGAACAAGCAGCTCAAAACGTTTTATTGCTATAGCTTCATATAGGGTGCACATTGTACGGATGGTAGCAAACATTACACTATAGTATCGAGGTGAGACAACAACAGCACTCCCATAAATAGAAACTCCTGTACAAAACAAGAAAAAACAAACCACTCAAACACTCATCCCATGTTTGTGGTCTAGTTCATGCTAGACACTATCATATACTAAACAGTGACTACTGATCTTTTTTTTTTTTTCGGAAGGTGTAGAATATTGGGGAGAGTTTTTTTTATTAATAATAATTTTTTTAGTATAGATTTTATATTAGGGGAATTTCCAAAGGTTCTCATCATCTCCAGCGTTACCAGAGGGAGCATGATCAGGAGCAATGTCCAAGCGAGGAGGACTAAGAAGCATCCCTTCAGCCATATTGGTAAGGACATTAGGCATATCAAAGATCAAATCCTCATCAACAAACTCATCAGTTGTCGGTTTCTCAGGAACTATTGGATTGTTTCTAGCCTCATTATCCTCATTCGCAAATAAAGCATCGTTTGCAGCCCCTAAAGCTGCGGCTGCAGAGGTTGCAGCCGCCTGGATATCACGTGGGGAGGTTGAGGCAGGCACAGGCAAAGAAGCAGCAGAATTGGGGAAGTTAAGCTCTGCATCTTGGCCTTTTAGGGCAAGTGCGGCAACATCATAAGCAATAGCTGCCATTTCAGCAGTAGGAAATGTACCGAGCCAGATTCTATTGGGCTTCCTTGGCTCTCTAATTTCAGACACCCATTTCCCACTAGTCCGACGCCTTACTCCCTTATAAACTGGGTGACGCCCCGTAGCAGCAGCAGCGGAAGCGCCTTCTCCACTAGTAGCAGAAGTACTGCCCCTACTGCTGCTAGTTTTAGAACTTTTGTTGGATTTTGAGTAATGCATGGTGACTTGAATCTGGTAAAGAGAAATGGCGGGAAGATTTGGTGTTTGAAGTTGGAGATGAGAGAATCCATTTATGGTGGATGCAAATTTGGGGGTTAAATTCTTGTTGCAGAGGGAAGAATATGATTTCCCAAAGTTTCAAAAGTACTGCAAAGTGCAAACCAGTTGTTGATGAACTGCGGTCTGCTGATAGTTGGGGTGTCAGCCAGATATATGTTGGACATCTGGGTTGGACTGCGTTTTTGGCGGCTCAAATAACTGCCTAAATCTTTACAGTGATCTTTGTGGGCATTTTTCAACATTCACTTTTGTCCCCCAAAAAAAAGTTACTCCTAAAGATTTGAAAATAATTAAGGCGTGTAGAATCTAAGAGCGAAAAACTTTTGTTTCGTATTCAAATCCAAATCCAAATGCTAATTCTATGTTTCTTCTCCTCAACCATACGCAGCTGTATACCCTTTACAATCATAAGGAAATCATCTTCAGTACCTTATCAACATCGGTAACATTTAGGAGTAGTATACAACAACTGCACCTTTTGTCAAGATACCAATGAGTTTAATCCGGTCCTGCCTCCATTTGCTAGTTACGCGTGTTTCTTTTGATTTCTTGAATATAAAAATCTGCCAAGCTCTGTCGGTATGAACTTTGTCAGTCTAATTAATAATCATCAAATCAAATATAATGATAAATGATAGAACACATAGATGCAGGTATTTATTAGGTTTATTCAATGTATGGCAGCAAGATGACAAAATATGAGCCCTGTTTATTACTCCGACAGGTTTACTATTCAATTGCTTTGAAAAGTTATCTGCACTCATAGAAGATTGGAAACTGCAATGATCTTCACCATCAGATGTTTGATGCTTGGCTAAAATATCAGACCAAACCAAATTCATTAACAGGGTAACTTGCTAGACATGGACTTACACTTGTGGAAATTTATCTTACAGTAAATTTCCTGAACTTACATTGGGAAATGGTTATGGAAGTATTTTTGAAAGCAGATTATACTTGTGGGAAAGAAAATATAGTTTTCTCAAAGGAGGGCAAAATTCTGTCCTGATCATTCCTCTTTCTGGTGTCTTTTCGCCATGATTTAGTGCAAAAACAATGTTTTCATGATCAAGATAATTAGTGAGGCAAAAATAATCCAGACAGTTGTATAACAGGGAACAGGAAAAACATCTGAGCATACATCACACCCACTTAAAATCAAGTGAAAGGAATTGGGGTAAATGAAATCATTTCATTCAATTGAATTTACCTGGAGCACAATTTATTCAAAAAAGTGGTTTTTTCTTTATTGCCAAACAGAGAATTTTGTTTTTAAAAGGACAAGATTTATTCAACCGTGAAAACCCACCCTGAACCCTTGCCCAATGCTGCTAAAGAACCTCTCCTTTTGAGTCATAAATCCTGTAGACTGAGATACTCAGACTTAAAAGCACGTCCAATTACGATATTATGAAGAGATTTAAATGCATGCATTTGGCACCCATGATTCGCACCATTGACCAACCAGGCCGTGCTAACTTACCAAACTGGAAGCAACCAACCTCTAACCAATTGAAAAGATTGAAAAATATTAATAATTGTAATGCAACAAAAAGCATATACATAGGCCTTTTCTTGTTCTTCCTAGTTCAGGGAAAGTGGGCAGAAAAAAAAATCGATATCTTGCCTTTTTCATTAGTCCATTTAGGCCTATTCTTTAGGAAGAATTCCATTTTTATATCTCCTTATGATGCATGCTTAAACAAATTTTTGCATTTTTTTAATCCACGTCATTTAAAAAAAAAAGACCGAGAAAAGCCACTCCATCAAGTCAACATTTATTATGATCAACAGACAAGTCATCAACATCAACGGAAGAATTTAATTACCGTTTACAATTAAAACTCAAAAACACAAAAAATTGAGATACTTGCCATATTAAAATTAACTTAAAGTGACTAAATTCATATTTTAATTAACGTAAATGGATTGATAATCCAATTTGACAAAAAAAAAAAAAAGTCCCAACTCCCAAAAAACCCCAAGTTTATATTATTACATCAAGATTATATTTTAAAAAAGTGCTTGGGTAAAAAAGAGAAAGGTAAATTTTAATTTTAATTTTAAAAATAAAATTAGAAAAAAAGGAAAGCAAGAAGAAATAAGAAATCAGTGCATAGAGGGAGTGGAATCAGCTCTCTCAATCCATTAGCGTTGGGTTTTTGTGGGTGTGTTTGTGCTCCCACCACTAAGGGCCTAAAGTCACGCCCTGAAAGAGACATTGGACGAACCTGAAACTGAAATTAGATAAGGTGAATTTGGAAATCCTGAAGGTGTTGAATTGTAAAGTGCTTTTTATTTATAAAGAACAAAATGGTAACTACTGTAAACTTTTTGCAACTTGCAGAGCAGACACTGGCGGCCCGGCCCCGTCAGCAACCAAGACCTAAATATAGGATCGTAAATAATATATCTAGTTATTTGAATTTGATATGAATAAATTTTAAATTTAGTTTAATTATTATTGAATTAAGTTTAAATTTAAATAATTTGATTTATTGAATGATAAATATTTTAATATTTAATTTGAATAATTTAAGAATTTAATCAAATGTTTATATTTTAATATATTTTATTATTATTTTATTATATAAATTAATTCGAATTTTTACTCCAATCAAACATAAATTATTAAATTTAAAATTAAGTATAAAAATTGAACTTATTTTTTATTTAATAAATTAATAAAATTAAATAAATTTGAATAATTTAATTTTTATTTTGAATCAAATTAAAATTTAAGCGAATTTAAATCAAATTTTAAATAATAAATTTTGAATTAAATTCAAACTGGAACATTTTATCATATAGATTCGACTCAATATGAGTTGCCTACATCCTTACGTAAACATAATCTTTAGAATCAAGATGAAAAAAAAGATTTGCATCCAAATGAGTACTCGAAGGATTAACTTGTAAAACTGCAAATATAATTAAATAGACGCGGCCGTGCCGCCAGGGGGCTGCCGCAATTAGGTGGCTAAACAAGGCTAAAGCCTAAAGATAATGCTGTTAGCGGTATGTACGCGGCTATAGGATAGAGGGGTGCCACCAACACGTTTACAGTATATAAGATTGTTTTTCCTCCTCATTCTTTTCCCCTGATTGCTTGAATTGGAAGAATTTTAAAATACAAATATATTTGTGAAAGACTAAAGTACGATTACTGTGATTCGATTTACAAGAATCTTAACGCAAACACTGTGAAAAGTAGCTAATCTTTTTTTATTCATATGAGAGGATTTGAATTCATTCTTTTAAATAAGAGAAAGAAGCATGAATCAAATATTCAAATGTAACAAATAATTTTTTGTATAAAAATTCTTTTATGAAATTATAAGTATAAATTATAATCATAATTAAATATTATATCATTAAGTAACCAAATGAATAAATTAATCAATGAATTAAAACTTATGAGCCTTAACCATAAGTTCAGAGGGCTAACCTTCTTTCTAGGGTTAAAGATAATACCTGTTTTTCCCTTTTACTCAAAGCCCTCAAATTTTCAACTTGTTTACTTTTTCATGATAATTTTTGTTTGAAAAATCACTAAATTTAAAAATTTTAAATATAATCGAAACATGTTTTATCTAATTGATAACATAGATGAATTATAACGAAGAAAACATCATATTCATTTTGGCATATGAGAACTAAATACTACTAATACTTTGAATCAAATGATATGATCAAACAACTATAAACTAGTACTAAAACCAAATGTCTGGAATTGCTAACGATGATAGTGGGTCATGTCATTATATCCTTTTCCTTTCTAGTATTGGTGTCTAAAATCAAATGGATTTTAATTAATTATTATGATAGTAAGAATTAGTACAAACTTAAGTTTTGTTTGATCCATACTTTTATTGTTTGCTTGTTTAAAACGAACTTGAAATTAGTTTTTTAATTTCCTGATAATTCAAGTTGAATTTAGATCATCTCTACTCCCTACCTTCTTTAAACTCTTCCCACTTCCTAATGCTACTACCCTCATAATTACCAGTTAACCTTAATTACTTCAACAATTGCTTAACAAAAAGCAATAGGCTAATAGTTTGATTGAACGTCCTGCTTCTCGGAAATGAGATCACTGTCCTTTTTGAGGATAACTATCCTAGGCTTGATCAAATCCATAAAGCCTACCGTCCAACTAGAGTGATACACGGCCTAAAACTGATTGGTCAGTGGAGCCCATCCTGGGAAGAAGGGCTCACTAAGGCCGGACAAGTTATAGTCTATGAGCCAGTCATCTTGGTGGGCCTCTTTTTTGAAGCAAGGCCTGATCTACATATTGGGCTGAAAATTGGACTTGGTTGACCTAAGCTAGGCCCAGAAATGCCACGATCTCCAATTAGATTAATGGACATGTGCCCACCTTTCCCTGTGTTCTGATTAAAACAACACCTGATTTTATGATTTATTTTATACAAGTATTTTGATCGATTTCAGCTTTTAAATTTTTAATTATGCAAGGAGCCTATAAGATAAAAAGAAAAGAGAAATGTTAAAAGAATCCAAAAAAGTGTTGTTGCTTTTAAAATCTATATTATACATTTTTCGGATTCCAATCATTTCGCATATATATCTAAAACAAAAGGAGAGAGTAGAGAATTTGTTAAGATACTCGAATTTTTATAATGCAAGTTGACTAACCAAGGCTTGGTTTTTTGCACTAATTCATTCACTTTATTTTCTCTGATATTCCACTAAGTTACCATATCACCCAATCAATGAACAAAGGGGAAAAAGAAATGCAAAAAATTATTGCATGTTGTCTGCTGATGATGAACTCTTAAACTTAACAGCTGGCAAAGAAAAAGATTTGAAACTTGTAGCCTGTGGAAGACACCTGTCAGCATTTGATGGGATTTTCGATGGTTCAAACCAAGATACTTTTGCAATAGAGAGATACTCACATATCTTTAATTAACTAATGCCTAAATCAAACCCCTCTCAACTTTCTTATGTTTCATGATGAAGATTTGCAAAGGGTGACAACTCATCCCCACAAATCGATAAGACAACTTTTAACTACAATCAACCAAAAAGCTTGGCCTCGGTTGGCAACCCTAGCTCTCCTGCCCGGGTGTTTTCCGGCCAGCCATCATGCCTTTCTTTGACTTTCTTCTCCTTCCACCTAAAACCACCAACTTTCCATTTTAAGTACCCGAAATGGCCTTGTCTAAAGCCTCAACCCTCCCTTTTTTTTCAATTTTCATGCCTCGCAATTTCTCTCTTCTCATTGTAACTATTGAGCAAGCTATTCCCTCTTAGAGAGGTTATAATTATTCATTCATATACGTGGTCGGCAGCCATCATTCGAAACCTGCCCCACATTG